GTTGTGGCTTTTGTTGTTGTTAATTAAACAAGTAATTTAAGACAAGCTCTTTCCTCTATTGCTCACGCTGGCCTTAAACTCATAATTCTGCCTCAGTATCCCGTCTGCTAGAAGAAGAGATGTGCTACTTGAAATGGTGTATATTCTTATTAAAATATTTTAGTACCTTTGAAGATACAAAATCTTTATTAGCTCTGGGACAGCATTTCTAAAAAGTGAACTTGACCCTTAACATACAATTTTCTACACCATCTTGCTGTAGATGTGCCTTAGCTCTGGTACCCTACGAAATTTTACTCTAAAGGGGGTTATTGGAACACAAAAAAGATAAAACAAAACTGCGTTTAAATAATTCAGAAGAGAACTACCCACTCTAACAGCATCATGAAAATCCACAAAGAATATCAACAGAGTAGGTTTAATACTTGATGATTAAAGATATCTGGTCAGTTTGTTCAATTCCAAGGAGATTCTTCCAGATTATGGAACCTCTTTCTCTAGATTCCCAGTAATATATTAAAAAAATTGTTTTCTGTAGGTTATTTTATACTATTCCAGAACTTGAGATTCTTGGCCATCAGTGAATATTGTGAAGTTCAAGAGCTAATCATTTCTCTAATGCAGTTTTCTTTACCCAATTTGATAATCTAAATTGATGTTTCTAATCTCCGGTTTCTTCTGGAACTTTGTCTTTCCCTTTCCTCCTCAGGAATAGTTCCAAACAGTTTTATGTTCATTTCTACAGGCATGATGATAGACTTATGCCATTTTCTTGGTGTTCTGAATACATCTTTTTTTGAGGGGGATGTGATTTAATGAGAGCAGTTGAGTTTCCTATTATAACCTTTTATTCATTTATCTTAGATCTTGCTTTCACTTGCCTGTGCTCTAGCTTTAGCTTTTTATTTCCAGTTCTTTCTTCAGGAGGAAATGAGGCTCAGAAGAATTTCACAGCGTGGCTAACATCATATATATTTTTGATAGAACTAGAACTTACAAGCATATATAAAGCTATCACTGTGATATCCTCCAAAATCACTTGTGACTACGGAGCTTTTCTGTCTCTGAGTATGCTGAAGTCAACATTTTGGGATATATTTTTAAAGTACACATTATGTGTCTATAAGAGGAAATGTAAAATACAGGTCACAGTCATGGTGTTGCTACATGCCAGTGGCTGTTCTGGGTGCTCTTTAAAGTTGTAAGTTATAGAACCCTCTCAATAACTCCAGGGCCAACTGCTACTATCACTTGTAGTATAAACATCAGGAAATCACAGGACAGTGAGGATTACAAAAGGGGTCTGGGGACAAAATAGAATCAGGAAGTGACCATAACTCCATGCAACTGTCCCTCCTGCTCCCACACTCTTCTGCTCCTTTCCTCAGATTGAAAGTATTTTAAATAGATTCATAGTGGGGGGGTAGGGTGAGAAGGTGCTGAATAAAGGTGGCTCTTCTCAAAGAACAGCACAATAGCTGCTAAGTGGTTGTATTATGTGCATTGATTAAGGGTGGCTGGGGTTGGAGTTTGCATCTTTTTATGTGTGCCAAGTGTGACAAGAATGTAACTACTTGTCTGTGTCTGCTGTCATGTTTCTTCTGAGTTTTGCCATGCTGCCCTGCCCTTAATTGTCACCTGCAGTTGAAATAATTTTTGTTTCAATATGCGTAATAAATTTGCATAGGCTTAATTTTTTTTAATATGATGAAGACTTCTGGGCAAGAACACTGATTTTTAGGAAATGTTCTGGAAACATTCAAGAGAGAAAAACATGGACCTCTACACTGAGAATTTAGTGTCCAGACTGCTACCTGAATCGACAAAGACAAAATTAATGTCTGTGCCTTCTGCATGGCGAGTATAGACTGCCGAAATTATTTCAGGTAACTTGGACAAATCAGTCTTGGTTCGAACCTCAAGAGCAAGCAGGTGAGTGTACCCATCACAACAACTCTCCCCACTGCAGTTTATTGATTTTGTGGTCTGTCTTCATCAGAAATCACAGAAAAAATAAAAGAAAATATACCAGTGTAACATTTTCTCATCTGACACAAGGTCATTTGTACATCTGTGTGTCTTGGTCCTTATACTAGGATTCTGCTTTTGCTTCCCTGTCAGAAATAGTCGAGGCTGTTTCCTGATGTTGTGTTATGTAAGATTTTTCTCTTTTATCCCAAGTCTAACAACTGGAAATGACCTCTGGCATCCACAATATTGTCATGATTCTCTTTTATCTATCTTTGCCAACAGCTTTCTGTTTCTTTTTCAACTGTGTGTTTTTAGTATCATATTTCTGGTAGGTCATTTATATTTCTGAAAACATTTGTGAAACTTAAGGAACTGATAATACAGGCTTAAATAACTAATAATACTCAAAACTACTTGTGTTTCCAATGGGTATACCTGGTCATATAGAGATATTTTTAATTCTACTTTAATTCAAGTCAGAAAGTGCCCAAAGTTTTGGAAGGATTATTCTGTTTACACAGATGTATTCAACATCTCATTAACAATTAATATTATTGTTTTTGTCCGTGAAAAAGAAAGCTAAAACTCATTGGCCTGCATGGTCAAGTACCAAGTCACCAATGTTTATCCTCTTCAATAGATTGAACTTTTAAATTCAAAGCCATGCCCCTTTTCCCATTCAATGTGTTGCAGAAAGGCAGCTTTTAGCCTCGCTCTGATTATAAATGAGCAGATTTGTGGGAAGTAAGACTGTCAGATCTTTAAATCATTATGAAGGAACAACAGTCAAAATAGTTCAATTCCTCTATCTAGGGATGTTCAAATTCATCTGTGGGACTGAGAGGAAATATGGCCTTAGAAAATCTGGCCAGGAGATGGAGATTTGCAAATAAAATTGAATTTAGACAGCAGGCGAAACTCTTCAACCAAACATCTCTCAAAATATGTGTCCTGGGTATGTGAACTAGAGGATAACTATGTATCTTATAAATATATGTCCAAAGTTGTATTTAAGTTTGTACCAAGTAAAAGACAGAAGGTAATTTTATGCTTTTATCTAATATATTTCACATTCTGTGACATATTTTATGTTATATACATTTGATACACTAATAAAAAGATATTGTAATCTATTTTAATAGGGTATCATGTAGCTTTATGTGGAAAATTATAGAAGCAAGTGCATGTGAATAGCATAATCTAGACATATCAAAGTATTAGTATCGATACCTTGGTATTAATTGCCTCATATCTAAAGAACCGAGAGAGTAGTAAAAGAGCTTCAAGTCATAGATCCAAGTCAAGTTTTACAGACTTGAGAGACAATATTGTTTTATTGTAGATAGGAAGAGATTAGGGAGGGAAGGGAAATAGAACTCCATAGCTATGTTGATTGTCTAGTGTTCAAAGATTAAAATGTTTGCGAATCAACGATGCCAACACATCTAAGAAATTTATTAAGGAAGAGACAAAAATAGATGCTTTAATAGTTCCTATACAAATGTCTGGAGTCTAAAATTGTAGCATAATTGAAAATGCAAATGGATTGTTACTTGAATTTTTAATGTATTTTTTAATGTGAAGAAAGAAAGGTCTGGAAGTCAAAACTGCAAATTATACTTTAAAAAAATTCTTCACAGACCTTGCTATGGACTTTTACAAAACTTTCATTTACATGAATACTTGAAAGTTTAAAGATAGTGAATGATCTCGTTTTATCTTCAAACTATAAAGTGTATTTTTTCCAGTGGTATGGATACAATTTACAGAGAAGTGGACAATTCCATTCATAGTCTATGTTAATAAGAAGGTAAGTGCTAGTCTGTCATATCACAATGTTCACAGTTTAGGTAAAGTAGGAAATTAAGACTCCCTTTTATGGCATTAGAGACATCTGGTAAAATCAGGAGAGCGTCAGCAGACCTAATCTCCAGTTCCATCTCATTCTACTCCTGCACAGAGTTTTCCCCCCTCAAACCCATCCACACTGGATAGATCTGCAGTGTTCACGTTTCCCTATTAGCGGGCTGGGTTTACCTCCCTTCCATCACAACATCTTATTCAGACAAGTCACCTATGTCCTCCATCTGTGGGAAACACCTTATTGAAATACAACATTTGCTTCCTACAGCCCCCATTCACTCTGTTCCAAAATATAGTCTCCTCATGGGCTTATGTGGCATGCAAGGACCTGTCCCTGAGCTGTGACTGTACATGGTTAGTAAATGACTGTTGATTGTGTCTGTCCTGTGCTACAAGTTTAGTAGTTTCTTAATACTCTACATAAAAATGCCTTTTTCACACAGAGAATGAATCGAAGGCTACCAAACAAGCAGCAAGTGAAAGGAGAATTTAGATCCATGGTGGCAGATGATGTAGATTTTATCCACATGTGACATCTGAAATTTGTTAAATCAAAGCCTTAGTGTTACAGGGATAAAATGCCAACTAGATTATGAGGACCCAATATAAACACAGGAATATAAATATCTCAAAATTTTTAATTGTTCGTCTACTGATATATCTTGAATGTATCATATATTTGCCATGGGAAAATACAGAAAATTATGTTTGATATTTATAAATATAAAATATAAACAAATATAATTAAGTGTTTTCATCTACAGAAAAAAAAAGCTTTCATTAGAAAGTTGAAGTTGAGATTTGTAGAGAATTCAGGGACATTTCCTTGTACTTTTTAGGTGACGATAGATGGCATTAACTCTTTGTTATATATGCCTCCATATAACATTAGCACATATGCCACCATTAAACTTCTCATGTGTTGAAGAAATTAGAGGTGTAGATTTAACATTTGTGGCAATGTGTCTACTGGGTTAGAAGAGAATTAAGGAGAGGGTTAGAAAGAAGAGATAACAGGGAGGTCATCCGTGAGGAAATCAAAAGGTGTCGGAACGGGAGGAGGGAGGCAGTCAGAACAGAGAAGCTGTGAAGGACACAGCAGTACACAGTCTACTCCAGGACAATGACCAGGAAGCTAGCTTCCCATTTGATCAGATACAATTATGTATTTTATCATATATGTTTTATTATTAGCAGGAGTAGAAAACAAACATTCCTATGTGATAGAAAAGAAGAGAGACATGATTAGTTATACATTATTTTTATGATTAACATATTTCAGCACAACCATTTCAGGCATTATGCTGTTAGCCAAACATATTCTAACTGAGAGGCTATAAAAAGCTCTTGAGTAATTATTTTATTGTCTCTAATTTGCACGGGAAAAATGTGGCTCAAGGAAATTCCACAAATTATCTAAGGCCACACAGCTACTGAAAGGTAGGACTGGGACAAGGATGCCTATTTTGAAAAGCCCATTCCCCATTCTGGGACAAGCACTGGATGTTTGGCATCCAGGAAATGTGTATGCAGTGATGAAGACAAGGGAAGGAGGAATGAACTGGTACTCATATCCTGGCTTCAGAAGAAACAGCGTCACTCCAGTGGCTGCACTAGTATCAGGGTATATTCTGATGAGAACACAGCCATGGTCCTTTATTTTAGGGTGACAACAGCTATTTTAACAATTTCATTTCATTCCATGTAGAGTTTTCTCTCGGCTTGTCACATGTATTTCACTGGGAAAAAACAAACAAACAACAACAACAACAACAACAAAAACCAAAAACTATTTGTGAGACCAAAAACTCTTGAGGCTTCTCAGACACAACGCATTTACAGATATTTGCACATTTTGAAGTGTGTATATAGTTTTCTGTCAGGGTTGCATTCCTAAAATTGATTTAGAAAAAAGATATGATATGCACAGTCCACTATGAAGTAATGGCTAGTGTTATTTTTGAGCCCCTCTATTTTCCTCAAGCAAACAGAATTTTCTGCCACCACCAGAAATAGAAGTATTTAATATTATGTCTATATAAATACCTTATGTTTCCTGTAATTTAAAATAAATCGATCAATAAGTCTAGAATATAGGTTACTTTGTATTATTTAAAACAGCAAGATTTTAAAAGCAAGACAATACTAAATGTAAGTTGGCTTTGCTACAGTTTAGGCAAAAAAAAAGAAGTCTGTAAGGTGTATGTGCCTCTGTGTGTGTATGTGTGTGTGTTTGTGTGTGTGTTAAACCAGAAGTACTGTTATTCATGCTCTTCAAATTATGTTTTGGTCATTGTTAAATAGAAACTAAATTTTATTTTGGATGAATTTTGATAATATAACTTTTAAGAATTAGTATCTGATGCAATTAAATACTATTTATGCCTTTAACAAAATGAAGTAGTTGACATTCAGCCTTGTAAGTCGAACAAGGCCCTAAAAGTCTGGAAAGGAATGAAGACGCCATACCTGTATGCTAAAGGGCATGAAAAGGTATTCTAATGTTTAAATAAATGTATGTTGCATAAAACTGAAGACATAATACAAATTCGAAAGAATTACACTAATAAATTCCAAGATGACAGTTCTGAAGTGGGAAGAAATCTTAAAAAGGAATATATTATTAAAGCTGAGATTTCTGGATTACTACAGTTCAGTTCCATTTACTAGACTTCTCCAAGCCTTTAGATGAAGATTAACTAAATAATTAAATACAGTTGCTCACTTCATTATCAAACATAGCAAGAAAAATATACATAATGATTGGAATAACAATAAAATAGAGATAATGGCTATGTTTGAATGATATTTGCTTTCAGATACCGGTGGAGTGGCTCACTGATATATATACGTTATTCAAAGGCAAGAAAATGCAGAAAATTCAATCCATTTCAATGTTAAATCTGGTGATGAGTTGGAAGTTCTCGAGCTCTAGCAATATTATTTGGTATGAAAGAATCCTTTTTACATTCATTTTAGTCCCTTGTGAAGGAAAGAGGATTTTTCTCTAGGTTAAGAAAATAATGATTAGAGTTGAGTGTAGTACTACACCCTTGTAATCCCAGTGCACCAGATGGAAGGGCGGGAGTGTTTGCAGACTGGGCTAGATAGTCATACCAGACACAGAGCAAAAGAAAGTGGCAGAAACACTATAGTATAAGTGGGAGGGAGATGGTGAATAAATTGTAATGGTCTAAATGAATAATTGTAATAATTATTTCACCATTTTAAAGGGACTGTGTCATGTTCTTATATAAGTAACAAGGGTGAGAACTTAGTACCCACAGCTAAAAATGAAACCAGGAAATTATTGTTAGTTATATCAACAAAGAAGAAAACAGCTAACCTTTTCTGATAAAGATCAAGTGCCTTTAAACAGGAATGCCAAGAAAAAACAGAAAATAAAAAAATGTGAAATACAGATGACCCCATTCCACATGGCAAGACCCTGCCGCTGGTGATATGACAGACTTTGGAGATCTCCCATGGAGGGCTTCACCCTTCCTTGGGAGGGGAGGGGGCATGGGGTGAGGGCTTAGGGGACTTGGGGGAGGCAGGGAAGGATGATAGGAAGAGGGAGCTGGGATTGACATGTAAAGCAAGCTTGTTTCAAATTTAAATTAAAAAAAACAAAAAATAGCAAACAAACAAAAGAAATATAGATGACAAGTTAGGTTTACAATATGTAAAAAGATACCAATGCTCTTTTAGAATAGCCAAATTTGATTTGTTTACCTAACCACCACCAAAAAAAAACCTACCTGTTTGTTATCTAATTAATGCAAGAATAAATTCTCACACAATGGGGATGACGGTATTATTTATAACCTTTAGCAAAATTGTTCTGGAAGATGAAGATTTATTTGTGGGTAATGTTCTCAAAATTACCTTGACTGACTGTTCTGGTGAAAATTTACCTTCATGTATCACTAAAAAGTTAAAGTTTCCATAGATCATCATGGACAAATAGGATAAAATTCCCGTTAACATTATTTTATATAGTTTTCAAATACTGTAGGAACCTGTAACTCAAAACAAAAATAGCACTTTTGTCTTAAAATTAACTTGTGGGTTTTATGTCCATGAAATTGGGTTCAAGTTAGGGAAGTAGTGATGTTCAAATAGGTAACTTTGGGGATACAACTTAAATTTTAGAAATATCTTAAAATAGACAGTAAAACTTTATTATAATAGATGTAGTTGCATATATGAAACATCATGCTTTAAAAAGATGGACGTATTTCTTACTTAGAAGGAACAGCGCCTGTTTAGAACTGCATTGCAACTTAGTGTACATTTCTTTTGAGTGCAGCTCATTATTTAGAATAATGAACAAATATATATAAATGCTACATCACTGCCAAGGTGGGAACCTTGGTAATGTAGTAAGATAACGGGCCCATTAAAGATAGCCCTCATCTATTGGGATACTGCAGTTCAGAATCACACGCTTCTGTCTTACTGGAGCTCTCAAGAGACCATGTTGGAGTTTTCTGAGGATGGCATGCCCTTGTGATGACTTGGAACTTGTGATGAACATGATCCCTCCCTGCCCCACAAGGGAAAGATGGACCAACAGAACCAGAAAATGATACTTACAAACATTAGCCCTTAATTCAGACAGTGGGTTAGATCTGACTTCATTTATAGACACTATAGCACTTATCTTTTCCTCAAATTTTTAATTGGTAACTTGCATATAGTCATAACATTAGTGATGTGATGTCCTGGAAGCTGGTTAACAGAGAAGTGAGCTGCATGATGACCCCCAGACAAGAAACTGGATAGTGCCAGAAACCCATATTTTGTTTCCAAAAGCCTTATGTAAGGATTAATGCTAATAACTGCCAATGCGTGCATATGCTTTCATTTTATGGAAAACATTGAAGGGGATTTATTCACAGTCCTCTCTTGACAATCACAAGTGTACGAAAAGGAGAAAGCTGCGCGGTTCGCCTTTGCTACTTAACAGTGACTCAGTGCCATGTTCTCTTCGCGGATGCTATCTCACTTTCTGCAGCTCCTGTCTCAGCCAGGAGGGCAGAGGCTGCCCCAGCCTGTGCAGCAGCTTCGAGAGCTCCACATTGTGATCCCGGTAGTAATTGGAGAGGAACGTTCTGGACTGGAAACAAAAGGAAGACTTGAAGGACACGCTTAGTTCATCAAGTATCTGCATTTTGGAAATAGTGTATCACATATGTGTCTACAAACTGCTCGTTGACTATTTTTTTTTCCTGAATCACACATTTTACATTTTTAGAAATTCTGACTAAACCATAGATGTAATGCAATGAGGTGCACGTGAGTCCTGGGAGAGTTAACTACCGTTATGGCCCTTGCTCATGTGCAGAGAGGAAACTGAAGGGTAATACCAGAGAGTGAGGAGGCGTTAATGAACAACCGAATGTACAAGAATGAGTGAGATAAAAATATACAAATTTCCTTTAAAAATTATTCCTTATACTAAACATTTAAAAAACATATCTGTCTGTAATGAGTAAAATTACCGATTATAAGAATAACTGGCTACAACACATATTTGACGATTGTATTCAGGATTTCTCTCTTTATTAAATATTATACATAATAGCTCTGAAACGCTTCCTTGTAACTCTTTTAGATGCCACAGCAACCTGAAGTGTTTGGGCTTTTTAAAGACCCTCCCCCCCCCCGTTTTTAGTTGTAACATGTTTTTCAAGATTACTTCTATTTATATGCATAAATGTGTGTTTCTGTTTATATTCTCACATGTACTCAGGTATCTGGAGAGGCTTGGGACACTGGATAGTTTGGGGCTCTGCTGGAGTTGCAGTTATGCTCTTACCTGATGAGCTATCACTCCAGATCCCAGATAAATGAGTGAATACACACACACACACACACACACACACACACACACACACACACACTTTCATAAAACAGAAAATTGTTAACTTGCTTTTTCTCCACCAAATTCTTCATACAACAACCAAGTAAAGTTATCTTTTTCTGTTTTATTTTCTGTCTCCCATAAAACTGATCAATACTTTCATGTGCAAATATTCATAGTTATCAAAGTTTTCTATTGCAAAGAAATGCCACCATCTCTCCTAAGCTCTTCTCAACATTTTAAACACAAATGAATTTCTTTCTTCATAAAACTCCCCTAGCAACTTTTGTGTATACTGTGGAAATGGAGTTAGGACAATTACATTTCATCTTGGACCATTCGCCAAGCATTTCATTATGTTTCTTCCCTTAAAGCAGATGGTAAGCACTTCAAATGGGGAATAAGATGTTTACAGTAGTGGGAATGCTACATTGATGTTTCAGGCAGATTAAAGTGATTTCTGAAACCCTTTAGAAATTACTGAGTTCAAAAGTATATTAAGGACTTTCTGGCACTTATATCACCATAGCAACACATGAAGAATGCATCCTGCCCTTGCCCACCTTGCCTTAGGAGAAATGCTCACAATCTCTGGCTGGTTTCCAGTCGCCATCTCTAATATAATTCGTCTTTCACATACTACGATTTCTATTATTTTTTGTCTTTTTTAGTTTAATTTATTATTATTTTGTGCTCTTGTTATAACCCTATAGCCCTAACTAAATTATTCACCCTATAATGAATTTCAGTAGCTATTTAATCCTTATATCTTTTGCATAGCTTAGCTAATGTCAGACATGTTTTTGTTGTAAGACGTATGTACACTGGTTAGTTTTTGTCAACTTGCCCAAACCAGAGATATTTCTGAAAGAAGGAACATTAACTGACAAATTGGCTGCATTCAATTGGCCTGTGGGCATGTCTGTAGGGCATTTTCTGACTTTTAATTGATGCGGGAGGGCCCAGCCCACTATGGGATGTGCCAGCCTTGGGCATGATGGCCAGGACTGTAGAAGATGGTAACTGAGGAAGCCAAGGGAAGTAAGCCAATAAACAGCATCCTCCATGGTCTCTTCTTCAACCTCTGCCTCCAGGTTCCTGCCTTGGCTTCTTTTAGTGTTGGAGTGTGACCTGGAAGCTGTAAACTGAAATAAACCTTTTTTTCCTCTAAGTTGTTTTTTAGTTGTCATGCTTATCACAGAAATATAAAGCAAGCTAAAATAGTATGCACTGAGTACATTTTTTGAATACTTGGTTTTTTTTAATACCATTGTTTACCAAACTATTTTTAAGTGCCTTACAGTATGGAAAGGAGTTATGTTTTAGTATATAATTATGTCTGAGTTGAATTCTAACAGAAAAAATTTCTAATGACATATATCAGTTCTTTCCCTCTCTAACATCTTCTAAGTTATAAAAAACTATTGATGGCAAAGAAAGACCAGCAAAAAAAAAAAAAAAGAAAGAATCAGATTTCTCTTCCTCATTTTCCAACAGAAGTGTCTTTTTATCAGTGTAACTCAAGAAGCTAAGCAAACATTACCTCTGGATCCATGGGTGGGTATTTTCGGCCTTTGCTCTTCCCAAGACATTTGGTCTTTCCTCCTTCCAGTAGTTGACACCAAAAGCCCTTTTGGGGATCAAACCTAAAAGATATAAAACACATAATAATTACAAATCATATTCAAAACATAGCCTTCCCAGTCAGATGAAAGGGCTACACTTCTGTTTGCCTGTTGCTTTAATTCAATTCATTTCTACAGGTGAGAAATGACAATAGATATTAAAATTTATATATTTTGCTATATAGTTTCAAGCAGTTCTACTGTATAGGAAAAGGCACACAGATCTGCAGTACAATTTCCTATTGAAATTGTTGTGGTCCATATTTTAGTTATGAATCTAAAATAAAGCAAAGAATTAAACATTAATATTACAGCCTACATATAAAAAGGCCTTTGGATATTTTGTTTCTGATGACTGTGATTTCAATGACAAAATGTATTAAAAGATTTCTTTGAAATCAATTAATGGGTTTCATTAATGAGACTTAATTCCATATAGGTACACTAATCTGAGTGTAGGATAATTAAGACTTTCAATTTGAAAAAAAATATTGTAGTCTTTCCTACAGTTAATTTTTTTTGCCTTTCAATTAGAAAAAATACTGTAGTCTTTTCTACAGTTAATTTTTTTAAATGTTCAAAAATTAAATAAAAAATGTTACAAAATAGTATTAATCTACTTCTTAAGGTTTTTTGTTTAATCCTTGAAATGAACTTGGAGTTTGTTTTCATAATTAAAAATGCTATGACATTCAACAATATCACATTGTGCTTAGAAAGAATAAATTTTTTCTGCATAAAATATCTTTATTTAATGAATTCCTGTGTCTTTAAATATTTTTAAATGAGTAAAGATGTAACTCATTACAATATCTTCAGATCTGAGACATAGGCACTACAACTGGTGAATCAAATGTAGCCCTCTTCTTGTCTGCTGCTGAAGGCAGGCAATCCTGTTGGGCGAATCTTGTAGTTGTAAATCTCTACTTAAATGCTTCTACATGCCACATGCTATGCAGCACATGAGTATCTGACTGTCAAATTGGCAGATACTTCAGATCTATACAGATTTGATACTGAGAAATTTCATGAAATGGGTTTTTGTTTTGTTTTCTGTATTTTGTTTTTCAAGTCAGGTTTTCTCTCTAGAAAAGTCCTGGCTGTCCTAAAACTGGCTTTGTAGGTCAGGCTGGCCTCAAACTCACTGATGTCCACCTGTCTTGCCTCCCAAAGATTCAATATGTGTGCCACCACTGCCCAGAGAGACACTTGTTTTTAAGAAAACCAAGTATATATTTTTCTGGGTGGAGCACTGCATGAATAGCAACATGTTAAAAACCACAGCCTTTGGAAATACTCATTTAAAGAGAATGTAAAGGGTATGAAGGAATGCCCCTTGAGTCTTTGAAATCCATGCTATGCCAAGGCAGAATAACTGAGTTAGACATTGGTGTGTTTCTGATACCACTTCTTTGTGATAAACTTCTGTGTGCTACACAAAATCACAACCAGTTGTAGACTGAGATCCACAATGTGGAGATCTTTTCCCTTTCACCTTCTTTGGGGGACCATACATGTCTCTCTTAGGGTCCTCCTTGTTTCTTAGCTTCTCTGGAGGTGTGAATTGTAGGTTGGTAATACTTTGCTCTATGTGTAAAATCCATATATGAGTGAGTACATACTATGTTTGTCTTTTTGTGACTGGGTTACCTGGAGGGAGGGGAGAGGAAGCTAGGAGAAAGAGAAGTAGAGAAGAGAAGGGGAGAGAAGGACATGAGGGAGCAGGAAGGTTGAGTTGGAGGAAGAATAGAGGAGAGCAAGATAAGAAATGCCATAATAGAGGGAGTCATTATAGTTTTAAAAAGAAATCTTGCACTAGGGAAATGTCCAGAGATCTACAAGGATGACACCAACTAACAATCTAAGCAATAGTGGAGAGGCTACCTTAAATGCCCTTCCCTAATAATGAGATTGATGACTGACTACCTTATATGCCATCCTAGAGCCTTCATTCAGCAGCTGATGGAATTAGAAGCAGACACCCACAACTAAACACCGAAATGAACTCTGGAATCCAGTTCCAGAGAGGTAGGAGTCATGAGCAAAGGGGTCAAGACCAGGCTGGTGAAATGCACAGAAGCAGCTGACCTGAACAAGGGGGAACTCATGGACCCCAGACTGATAGTTGGGAAACCAGCATAGGACTGATGCAGACACCCTGAATGTATCAGTGAGGAGGCCTCGACAATCTATGGGGCCTCTGGTAGCAGATCAGTATTTATCCCTAATACGAATGGACTTTGGGAACCCATTCTACAAAGAGGGATATTCTCTCAGCCTAGACACATGGGGGAGGATATGACAGACTTTGATAGGGAGTTAGTGGGGCACAGGAGAGGAGGGGAGGGAAAGGGAACTGGGATTGACATGTAAAATGATCTTGTTTCTAATTTAAATAAAAACAATATATATATATATGAGATCCACCATGTGATTGACAGTGTAGTGACCACAAGTTTTTTTAAAGTCTTTTTTTTAATTTTTAAATTTAAATTAGAAACAAGGTTGCTACACATGTCAATCCCAGCTCCCTCTCCCTCTCCTTCCCCTCTTCCCATGCCCTCCCACCAACCTCCCATCCCCCCTCCCTCAATCCCCACTCCTTTCCCCAGGGAGGGTGATGCCCTCCTTGGGAGGTGTCCATAGTCTTTCTTTTCATTCAGGGCAGGGCCTAGGCCCTACCCCAAAGTCCAGGCTGAGAGAGCATCTCTCATTGTGGGATGGGCACCCAAAATTCATTTTTATGCCAGGGATAAATACTGATCTACTACCCAAGGCCCCATAGTTTGCCTAGGCCACCTCACTGACACCCACATTCAGAGGGTCTGGATCAGTCCCATGCTGGATTCGCAGCCATCAGTCTAGGGTTCAAGAACTCCCTATTGTTCAGGTCAGCTGTTTCTGTGGGTTAAAAAAGCCCAATCTTGACCCCTATGCTGATCATTCCTCCCTCTCTGTCACTGAGTTCCTTGAGTTCAGTGACCACAGCTTTTCTGAAGGTAAAAAAGCTGAGAGGTCACAGTTGCCAGTGCTGAGACTGAGTGTGGTTAATGACAGATACCCTCAAGGCTCAGAGGATGCCATTTCACTGAAGAAAACTAAGCATTTCAAAAAACAGAAGGGTAGAGCACACATTTCTACTGTTGCTAGTGTAACTTTTTAGGCACTGTTTTCTTTGTTAAACAGGAAAATTAACTTAATTAAAACCAGAGGAAAGTGAACAAGGTCATAATCAGAAATGTTTCCCTGGTTTTCTCAGCAAATCATCAACCTACTCACTGTTGGTGGGAGGCTCCTTCTGGTTCTTTGTGGGTCAGTCAAACATCCAGGACTTTGACACACCCAAAGAAGAAACCATGCCACTAACATGTCTGAAACCTCTCTAGTGTGCTGCCCAGTTTCTCAAGTATGTAGGAAACACAGATGCTCACTATCAACACGAGCAGCCAGCCAGCTAGCATTTAGGGTTAAAATTTCAGAACTCACAACTTAGAATCCCCTTGTCATTTCCTGTACTTGCTATGTTGATCCAGCCAAATGGCAGAAGCTGAATTTTTTGCCCCTAATTCAAAGCTAACCAAGCACAAGGAACAGAAAACTGAACAGTAACTACAAGCAGCAGCATAACCACACACACACACACACACACACACACACACACACACACGCACGCACGCACGCACGCACGCACGCACGCACACACACACACACACACACACATTTTTATAGCTTCAATCAGTCCCACTAAGCCAATGAAGAACAAGATGTCCACTGCAATGACCAGGCAAAGATTGATCAGCCGCACACCAGTACTCCAAGCGTGATTCCATTTTGCAAAACAAGAGAGGGGATAGATATCACAGGCAGTGCTTGGCTCATGCCAACCTCCCTGCAAAGCATCGTGACACCCGTGGTTACAGGCAGCTGCGGATGAATTGAATTTTGGTAGAGCCCTGCTGGCAGACACTGCCCTTCACTCTGGGACCTGGAAGGGAAGCAGTGTTGTAGCTTTGACCCTAACAGATCCTTAGACACTCTCATAGTCTCTAATGCTACCTTATTTCTTTGGCTGCAACTTAGTTACAAAAGAAAGGATGTTTGGGATAACTGTTTTGTGTAATGTCAAATGTATGAGAATTTCTGATGAGCACTAATAAGATAGGAAAAATGAAAGAATGTACCAAATAAGAAGGGAAGATTTAAATTTATCTCTATGGGATTTGCTGTATGCATAAAACATGGGAAAGGTTTGCATCTTTGTTGCTCAGCAGATGTTTTAGAAAGATGAAGCGTAATTGACTGGGATGTAAAATTAATTAGTTGCAGAATATTTTGTTGCCCTGGGCCCATTCCTATAACACCACTGCACCTGAAATTTGCCTCTGCACATGTGTGTTCTCTTTTATGGTGAGAGGGAAATTTTCTTTAGTTTCCTTCCTGACCTATTGTTAGAGAAATCTGATCCATGCTGTCCACATTGTACTTGTACATGTCCCCAATTAAAAGGCGATCCATCAGTAGTCAAATAGATAAAAGAAGACAGAATCATTTCCAACCCGAACTTTCCAAGCTGCTCCCTGTGTATCACAGGCCTTCCTCTAGTTTGCTCTAATTTCCCAAGAGGAAAAAACAAATTCGGTCTTCTGTGCAAAATGAGATGAGAGCATCGGTAGCACGATGGCCCTAAACAGCATTTTCTGTCTTGGGATGAGAATATTTAACCATGTTAAGGCAAACTACACTGGTAACAAAGTTGAGGTTTACAGACCCATACTGACAATATGTTCCCTCTCTGGTTGTGTGAGGGCTCAGGGTAAGTCGTAGGTTTTTCTTGTTCTGCAAAGCAGGTGTTGTTAAGTCGGAACTTTGTTCAAACTGGGGAATGAGTCATCCTGCATACCAAAGACCATTTTTAAACTTGCGGTTTTTGTGACCCTCACTGTTAGGGTTTTAGTTCCACTTATTGTGTAGCTATCTTCATAGATGGTAAGTCTAACAGACTGATCTCTAGGTTAGAGCAATTCAGTGTTTTATGGTTTTACCTTAACAGGCATGTTATTGTGAACATAAGGTTCAAAGCCTTTTCAGATAGTTGTTAAACCACGCTTAAGACATGAGTTGACTGACATGTGACTTCATTTATTATGCTAAGCATCACAAGAGTAGTTAAATTTTGTGATATGTGAGATACATTAAAATCCATATATTTTGTACTTCTTTATAAACTCTCCTCATAATAATGAATTTTCAGGTTTATTGAGCCTTAAGCAACTATTTTCAGTGAAAAGGACAGAACCATTACCTAGGCTACCGCTGAGAAGGGCAAGATATGCCAACATCAATAACTATTAATGCAAAACACATTATGGGAAGCTCTGTCTACTCAATAAGCAGGGGCATGCCTTGTGCGGCTGCTATTTCCATGTGTAGGTAAGAACTTCATTAGGATTGTTTTAGCGGATAAGGAAAAACCCAATCTCATTACTGCTTTTCCTGTCCCTCCATTACCCTCTCTAATTGTCTAATTGCTGAGTCTAATCTTCTGTGAACTGGGAAATTATGTAATCAGGCTTGTTAGAATTTTGTCTAAAATTTAATAGGCTTTATATCAGAGCTTGGGGGAGTCTTGTAGGAGTACAGCATGTGCCCTTTTAAAGTGTTTCAGCCGGCTGGAGCACTTCTCTTTGTTAACTTGTTTACCCCATTTTAAAACTACTTGAATAGATAGTTCTGTGTTCCTGATATGAGGGCAACATATACACTATTCCACCTGCCTTTTGTAATGTAGCACATCCCTCCTTGCCAAGATATGTAGTTGCATCTCCATCCCTTGAATTTGGACTTGATTTACTTACTGGTATGCCCAACAGAATGAAGCATGAAGCAAGGTCTGTAGCTGTCAAGTCTAGGTCATAGCAGCCATGGGGATCTTAGATCACATGGTCCTTCTTCTTTATATTCCTTTTTAGAAAGCAACCAGTTCAGTGTGAAGAAACCAAGGACAGAGATTTGCTACATGGAGAGTCTTCATGCTACTGAATTCAGACCTTGACTGAGTAACCAAAGATGTGAGTTAAGGAGCATCCAGATAATTTCAGTCCTTGGTCATTTGTGCCATAACCAGATACTCAAGTCTTCCCGGGATGATCTTACATATCAATTAGTAAAAACCAAGCAATTCTGAGTGCATTCTTTATTAATCTCTGACCCACAAAATCCATGATCATAGCAAAAGCATTGCCATCATGTGTACTAGGTTTAATGATGGTTTGTGGTACAATAATAGATTGCTACACTGCATGATTCCATTTGGCTATAAGCATTCTAATACATGAATAATAAAACGTTTTTCTGTAATGGTGTCCACTGAGGCTAAAACTTTCCATCTTGAAGACAAACTTCTTAAGACATGAGATAGGAAAAGTAAGATAAAACAACAGAATACTTTGAGACAGGGTGTTTACAGGGAGATGAAACAACAGGAGAAGTGAAAGTTTGCATCCTTGGAGGAAGTCCCTTAACACATAAAATAAACAACTCAGAATAGGTACAGGGAGTCCTTGAAACTGAGCAGATTCATTAGGCTCATCTCCCCACAAAAGTATTTAAGTATATCTGAAAGTGGCTGTCAGAGAAGCTTCAGTGTTTGAAGACACAGACCAAGCAGCCTAGCAGAAGCAGAGACCAGAGAAACAGCCTGGGACAAAAGGTATCAGTCCAAATGCCTAAAAGAAATATAAAGACCAACTGAGCTACCTGGAAAAGGCTTGGGTCAATTGAAGCACCAGGAATGGACACTTCTAACTTGTAGAGCTGTCTGCTGACTGTGGAGTACACTCCAGGTTTCCAGCTTTTGTCAATTGTATTGGGACAGATGTTTAGTGATAACAGTTGTCTTTGAGGTATTTCTGCTCCTCTATTAACCACAATAAAGCTCATTGGTTCACCAAAGTGGACTTTAGTAATACCTATACTTTTGTCTGTTGTTAGTTCCCTATCTGGGATACGTAGATGTTTACTCATATCTTGCAAGGAATAGCACCACACAAACACAAATATGCATCTCCAAATCTGTACTAAATATTGTTTACTGTTTCACAGGGAATTATGACTTTTCATATTTCATTTCTGTTCTGTTCTGTTCTGAATTTTTTAAGACAGGGTTTTCTCTGTGTAGCTCAGGCTTTTCTGGAACTTGATCTATAAACTAGGCTGGCCCTGAACTCAGAGATCTGCTTGCCTGTGCTGGGATCAATGATTTGTGCCGCCACTGCAGACCCATGTTCCACTTGTAACTTGTTCTAAGAGGACAAATCATTTTCACCCTGAAACTTCAGTGTTTAGGACACTGTACACAAAGCATATATACATGTATGTATGTATTTATTTATGTATGTATATGTACATATGTATGTATTTATTTATGTATGTATATGTACATATAATATCGAAACAAATTTATATTGGAGGAAAGCTCAAAAATGATATTTATCATAATATAAAATACTAAGTATACTTTAATATAAAGTAGTCCTATTGTTCAAAAGAAGATACCTTATGAGTAATGAGACTATTTCTTTGTGTCTGAGTAGCAGAATGATGTATAAATTCATAGCTAGTATTAATGATGCTATATAAATACAGACCAGTGATAATTTATGATGACAAATAATGGAAGTGAAATCAAGCATGAGAATAGACTCACGTTAGTGCTTCAGAGTAATTATAATGAGGTGTAACTCCTAGAAACTTCTGGACTTCATCCATCACAGTAGCTGGGTCAGATCTCAGCTGTTGTCCATCAATAATTAGCAACTGCAAAGACAAAAATAGTCAACTGTGAAGAACAAAACTGAATTAAATTGACTAAGCTGCCCCTTTTGACCTCGTATGGCATTAATAAGTCAGGCCACTTTGAATGAGAAGAAAACATGTACTCTATGGAATACATTTAAGTGTTTTTCTTCTTGCTTCTTTCCCAACGAATAAATAATTTAAATTTTCCACAGAAATTATTTTTGTGTTGGTGAATTATTAAGCCAGTTTGTTTTTAAGCAGAAGTAAATGCAAATGTCTGTAGCATTGCAATTGTAGTATAGACAGGGGTTTCTCATCTCTAGTGTATATTACCAGCTAGCCAACCAGACTACTAACATCCCTAACCTCGAGGCCTATGGCTCGAGTCATTACTCAGGTGAAAGTATCCCATCTATTGTTACAAACCATAACTGAGAGGAGAATCAGAAATGAGAGGAAAATGTTTCTGACTTGGGTCCTTATGGTAGAATATGAAACTTGCCCAAGTTTAAAGACAGCGTATCAAAGTCCTTCGGGAGCTTAAATTACGCTATGGGCTGAAGTGAAGAACATGGATATTTTTCTCAGATGTTACTGTGGTTCTATTCCATGTCTAAGCCCCTTCTCTTTATGTTTAAGAACCTCTTCTTTCCCAGTAAGGTTCTCATATGGCAGAGAAGCAGAATGAATCCATGTGGGTACTTCTACAAAGTCTCTGACTAGTTGGCTTCTCTACCAGTTGTTGAGAGTTGTCAATATTGAATTATATGACATTCTCTTGGAAAAATGTATTCCTTGATAACAACTGCTCATCAAAGAACTCTCCTAACCATGTGCTTCAGAGCTATCTAACTACATCGAATGGTATTGGTAAAGTAAAAATATAGCCTCTATTGCTATCCGTTATCTGTGAATCTCATCCGTGTGTGTCAGGGCAATACAATCGTGATATGATAAGTGAAACCCGATTTCATACAATTACCTGGGAAGTAGCAAAGTAGGTCAGCCATCTTTCTATGTGTACTGCATACCACCCAGGTACCAGACATCTCCTCTGCAAGGTTTTTAAATCAGGTGGGGCCCAATGTCCTGTTGTGATGACTTCATAGAAATTGAACCTCAGGGCAGCTGGATCTTCATGGGATCGCTGATGCTTTAAGGGAAAAGTAAAGTGTAGAGTTAAATTTGTTTTTTTTAATGTTTGCATAATTTTGTTCTCATATGTACCTATGCATTTGGCACATTGCGTATTTTAAATAGCAGGATTTCAGTAAATATCAAGTGATATGCAGATATATTTAGGGTTGATTTGCTTTTAAAATATATAGGCAAAAGGCAGACAGAGTGAAAGGATTTTCTACAAGAGTCTGATTAGAAAGGAAAATATGCTAGAAACAAAAGTTAAGTTTGATAAGCAGAAATTTAGATGGACAGGGGTGGTCTCACATATTGCCTGGCCTACTGTGCTGTGGTGATCAGAGACCCTGGCTGGAAACCCACTCCTCCATCAGCCTGGGAGCAGGCAGCTTTGAGACAATGTTTACTGAAAACAATCCAATGCCATAGGCTCCTGATAAGGGCTGGCTCACTGAAAACACCCCGACTTTGATCCCCCCCCCCCCCCATGGCTAGCTACTTCTTCCTGCTCCCTGCTGTTCCAGATTCTGGTACCAGAGATTTAACCACCAGCCAGGAGGAAAGAGGAGAGGTGTGTGAGAGGTTGTTGGAGATTTGTGTGTGTATGTATGGCAGAAGTTTTTCTGAAGGGAAGCGTTTTCTTTGTTTTTTTGTTTGTTTGTTTGTTTGTTTGTTTGTTTGTTTGTTTTGGGAAGTTCTCCTAAGCCGATTTGGGGAGCATAAAGTTTTCTTAACGCAACCGACTGGTCTCTGTGTCATCAATCCCGACCACCTCACCACATTCTCGGATACAGGCTGCGCAGCAGGCACGGCAATGTGCCTTCCCAGCTCCTTCTGATGGTTTCTCTGTGTGGCAGATCCTATATATGCGGACACCTCAGATTCTGATGCCTAACCATTGCTTAGATACCATACTCAAGCTAAGCTTGTCTGAAGTGCTTTTGTGCTCTATGGGTCTCCACCAAATATTTATGTCACTCCTTCTTTTCAGTATCAAAGCCTAGTAGTTTTTCACATAAAACTATCATTTGACAAAATAATAGAGCCCAGCTAAATGAGAGACAAATTTAATAGTGCAGATGTTTGAAAATGTGTTCTTCTCATTTGAAGAACATCAACAAAAAATAGTAACAGATTCTGAATATGAACAGATGTGAAGCATAATTGTTGTCTTTAAAGAAATGAAGCCTAGTATGAGAGACAGTAGAGTAACAGATAATAGCAAAGTCATATATTTGACTAATGTATAAGAAGCTTCTTAATGGTGATAACCACCAATAAAGGAGTAATGCAGACTGGGAAATGTAGGAAACTTTAATAATGGTTGAAGCTTTTGAGCCAAAGTGTTTTTTGAGTGAAAAATTTCAGTAATCATAGGATAAGTAAATAAACAGGGAAAATTCAAGGTAAGTCTGAGTTAGGTATATAAGGTGTGTGTATATAAATAAACTGGTGTTGCAGAATATAAAAAAGTTAATGTGGAAAAAAATGCGACCTAGAAAAAGCATGGTGGTATACAGGTATTATGCCTGGCAATAGATGGGTGTTTTATTTTATAAGTAAATTTTACATGTAAATTATTCTAGACAAGTCAAGATAGTTTGGTGAAGGGTTAAAGATCAGGAGTGGAAAATAACTTCCTGATGAGTGAAACTATAATTTGTTTTATTTATCATGCTGAATACATTCAGATGACATAACCACTCTAAACAAAAAAACGTGTAGAGATTCCGTAATTGGAAAAATAATTGCCAATAAGCAGTATATGCATATTAGTAGAGTACAGCTGGGCTAAAATTTCTGTTATAAGCAGTAGCCAGAGTATGTTCAATCTGCTCTTATTGACTTATGTAAGTTTAGCGTCAGATTTTCTTTATATGCCTGCAACTAAGATTAGCATAAAAATATGACCAGAAAGTCACAAAGGAACATATTTTATGGAAAAATAGCACTTTAGTTCCTCTGTGAGGTCCATTATAAAAATGTGGGATAGAAATTACAGTGGCAGGTGACGTTCGTGCTGGTTTCTGACTTACACCTGCTGAGCTACAGATTTATGGCCCTTACTGGAAGGACGGGTCTAGCTAAGTAATAGGCTACATTATTTTGAAATGTGGAGCACTTTGGGGCCATGGCTTCAGCAATACAGGCAATAAAAAGTATTATCAGAAAAATAATTCCCTTAAACCTGTGTATCCAAAGAATTTATTTGGAAAGTAGTCACAGATAAGCACTGTATTGTATACATTCTATTTCATTCAAGTTATTTAATCTATATAAAACATTCATTTCGGTCTACCCTAAATAGATTAAACATTCGGCATTCTCACAATATCTGAATTTAAAATTTTTAATTAAAGTTTTCACCTCAGTGTTTTGATATTTTTAATTAACTCTATTATAAAAGCCTTGCAAGTAAGAAATTTCACACACCCAAATTAACCAGACATAAAGTCTATACATCTTAATGAACTTCTATACAGTTAAATAGAAATTCTGAAGCTGTGGGACTTCATATTTGATTTTACACTTTCAGTATAGGATATATTTTATGCACTTATCCACACCAAAACTGAAAAATCCATGCTAGAGTTAGAAATAGAAAAACAATTATCTTTTCATTCTCTTTCATAACTTACATTCCTTGCCTACATTTGGCATTTCTACATCCTCTAATATTCAGCCTTTCTTGTTCATTTTTCTACATGTTGTTCATTATCCGCTGGCTAGTTTTACGTCAACTGGATATGGGCTAGAGTCTTCTGAAAGGAGGGAACCTCAATTTCAGCATATGTAGGTGAGGGGGCCCCAAAGATCCACCTGTAGTTAAGACACTATTGTCAATTAATGGCTGCTAGGAAAGGGAGAGTCACTTGTCTTTAGGAATGTGGGCACTAGTAAGTTAGTCATACTCGAATGGATGACTCTAGCACTTATGTGCATGTGGGAAGCATTACCTGAACTCAATGAACTAAATATATAAAAATAAAAGACATAAAATTGGAAGGTAGATGTCAAGGAATGTAAGTTGTGAAGTAAGGAGTGGAAAGGAAGATACTGTGTACACATGTGTAATATTTTGAGATAGTAAAAAAATTAATTAAAAGCTATAGGAATATTAAAAGTAATTATATGCAAGCATTAATACACATTGATTCTTGTAAAACAACAACAACAATTTAAAAAAATGAACCAGTCTAGCAACAAACAAGATTGAATAGGAGTCAGCAAAGAGATATTTCACAAAGGATTTTCTTTTTAAAATTCCACAATGATCTCATAGTGAAAAACTGTTGCATTATTTATATTTCGCTCACATAACAAATAAAAATACCTTTATGGTAAAAAATAAATGAGAAGTTATAGGGGAAATCAATATAAACCCATTTCTTTTAAATACTACCAAAACTTTATATGCAATTGTATCATAGTGAAGGTTGTCATTGCCATGATGAAACACCCTGACCAAAGGCAACTTAGAGAGGAAAATGTTTATTTGACTTATGATTCTACAGCACTGTGCCACTACTGTACGACTATTTATTACTTTTTTCTGTTTATTTAATGATAAAGTCAAGCTATGCTTGAATGTACTCAGCATTACTCTTCTTCATTCATACCTGGTACCAAGAATATGCCCTGTCTGAGGGGTCAATGAGGATAGTAATGATCTTGGCTTTGGGAACAAGAGATGCTGCTCTCTTGGGGGCCTCTTCTGAGTGGAAGTAGTTAGCACTTTTTTCAAATAGGAAATCACTGGTAATGTTGGAAGGAGTAGGGAAAAAGTCCATATACCTGCAGGTATGAAGGGAAAAATCAATTAATATAATCAGTATTCTTTTTAGTCTGCCATACAAAATAGGAAGAATTTGAACAGGTCTTACGCTTGTTTGCATAAAGTTTAAATTATTGTGTCATTCAAATACTCAGCATGCTGTATGCTTCTAATGTGAAAGCAACCCAGAATGTTATGTACTTATGACTTATTTAAGGCAAAGGAAAGAGTAAAACAGATAAGTGAGTTGGTAATGAATGATGGGATAACACAATGAATTTGAACTGATATTCTCTGCTGTCGAAAACCAAGTCTAAAATTACAGATTATGCATGTAAAATACAATATTGTACCATCTTCCTTGACAGATACTTCAAATGGTAAATGTGCGTTTGCAGATTTGAATGCTAAGATTCTTAAGGTTAGATTATAGTTCATAGGACAGAAAGACATGTAAGTCAAAATAGCTATAAAACATTCAACAGATTAAGGCATAGCTACTGTTCTCCTTTTTAACTTCTATAAATTTGGAAATATATGCAGTAATATCATCACATTGTAATTTATCTAGAGTAATTAAGGGGCTGCTTCCTGTCAGTTGATCCTGCAGTGCCTCCATAGGTTTACTTCTCCATATGCTGTCGGAACATTCCTCTGTGTGTGTATTATGGAATCAAGATGTTCTGAGGCTAATTCAGTACAAGGCTTTAATTATGTGTGCAACCCTCTTTACAGCTCATCACTTCTCTCACCCTCAAATGTTCTAGAAAAAAATAATGAGAGCAATTAAGAATCCATAGAAGGCTCTTATTTTCCTCTTTGACATTTGTGATTATGTTTCCCAAATGAAGAGTACTGAAGAAACTCATCTGTATTCTTGCTTAACATTTTTTGTTCCATTTGAGCTCAGAGATAAGAGAAAATTGCTTTTCATTCTTTAATAATTTACATGTAATTCCAAAATGTAAAAACGAGATAGGGCAGTAACATCTCAGATGCAAAGTGAACATAGTTTCACTCAGGATGATCTTCACGCTGGCATTGCCCTTGTTGGGTTTTAATTCTAGAAGGCTCAAGTGTTACGGTAACACACAAAATTAAATGCTACAAATTGTGTATTGAAAGCAATTTTCCTCATATGAGATTTGCCTTCTATGCCTAGGGAATGAAAATTTAGGGAGATCAAATCCAGGATCACAATTTCTTGGAAAGATAGGATATAGACAAAAAAAAATTTATCTGACTGAATACCATTTCCAATATTATGTTTATTCTATTTTATCTTATGGAAAGTATTGTAATTTTGAGTGTTTTCTGTCATTTATCATGTGCTAATTAATGTTTCTTTTGTGTGTGTGAGTGGAATTGATATGGTTTAGGAAAAACTCTATTATAATTTGCATGACAAATACTGCCTACATTGCAATACAACATACACAGCTCATGTGGTTAATGAAGATACATGTCCCAGAGAACAAAATAAAGCAACCTCAGGCATCACTGTGAAGAGAAATTATGTGTTTAATAAAATAAATGGAGAAACTGTAAAATAAGAGTAGGCTTAAAGAGAATTTTAAATATCCTTATGAATAATTCTGATGAAAAATACCCCACAATGTTCATTATTCAATCATATTAACTTACCAGAAAAATATTATCATTATTGCAGTGTCCAAATCAAATTATAAGCAACACTGATTAAACATATCATCATTATAAATTAATTTCTGATTCACTGTGGTAGAATTGAGCATAACAAATTTATTCTGTAATTATGCAGCTGCCATGCACACATCTGTAATTGCTCTGAAATGATGGAGTGTGTGTTAATGTTGGAGTTCACTTTTTGTTGTTGTTATTCTTACCACTCAATTCCCTTGTGATAGTTGTTGCCATTAAAAAATTGAACTTCTTCAAAGGTTTTTGGGCTAGGGAGATTGCTGATGATGGAAGGGTGCATAAGAAGAAATAAATAAAGTGCAGTTGTTCCTGTTACACAGAAAAGAGACACATGTTAGATGTCAAGAAGAAAAAAGATTGTATTATCAGTGTCATATTTTAACCAAAATAAAATCCAGTAGACCAATTCTTTCCAATGTTTTCTTATCACTAAGTAGATGCACTTTATTTTAATAATAATCAAAATGGGGCTGGGATTGATGGTGCACACCTTTAATCCCAGCACTTGGGAGGCAGAAGCGGGCAGACTTTTTGAGTTCGAGGACAGCCTGGTTTACAGAGTGAGTTCCAGGACAGGCTCCAAAGGAATATAGAGAAATTATGTTTCAAAAACCAAAATAATAATAATAATAATAATAATAATAATAATAAGAAGAAGAAGAAGAAGAAGAAGAAGAAGAGGAAGAAGAAGAAGAATGGGTCTACAGTAGTTTTGCAATTCTATTTATATAAGTATCAGATTTAATATTGCTACATAGGCAAAGTAAAGTGGATGAGAAATCCATTCAAAGTAGCATTTCAGAAATCTGTGTTTCAATTTCCTTCTGAAGTCAAGTGTCATAGGTATAGACAGCATCTCTATTTTGGCTACTATATTTGGTGAATCATTGCTTGGCATTTAATTTTAGTCAATTAGATCAAATATTTGACAGAGGTTGATATGTTATTTATTATATGCCACAGGAGGAATGACTGTTGATAATTTTTGTTCAGAAAAGCACATGTGTTGACTTCAAAAAACTTGAAGTTCACATGTGTTCTTGAGTCTACTACAAAGGTAATGGAAGGAGTGAACAGAGACTTGAGTAGCTGAGGACACTCACAGCAGACTTAACGAAGCCATCACTTTGCATGCAAGGAATATTAAACAAGTAGAATTTCAAACCTATTAAACATGCGGCCCTAAGTTGATAGGTTGAATCAAATTAGGAACAAAACACTCCTTAAAATGGCAAGCAGATGGCATTTAAATAACAATAAATACTGTTGTAGGTTTTAATTTCTTGGCCTTTCTTTATGAATACCCTTTAATTAATTAATTAATTATTCCTCTAAATAGGCAAAATTATAGGTAACAGGTATTCTGCCCCTTGAATGACAACTCAAACCCCCTTTCCCTATGTATAGATGTCTTACGTAAGGAGCTGTCAGCCAAGACAAATCTTCCTTGGAAAGTGTTCTAAGGCAACCTGCACACTGTACTGGTTATTTTGGTGTTATTTATTTGTTTTAATAAATCTTTTAAAAAACTGAAACAGAAACTCTGTACAAGTTAGAGACATCTGGAAAGAGTCACCTCAACTGAGAAAATACTTCTGTAAGGGTGGGCCTCTAGGATAGATTAAGGGGAATATTCTTGAATAATGTTTGTTGTGGGAGGGTCCAGCTACCCCTGCACAGGTGTTCTTGGGAAGTAAGGCATAAGAAGCAGATAAATGTGAGCTTGGAAGCAAGCCAGTAAGCAGCATCTCTTGGTTTCTTCCTCGGGTCTTGACCCCAGGTTTCTGCCTTGAGTTCCTTCCCTTACTTCCCTCAGTGATACACTGTGATCTGGACTTGTTAGTAATAAACCACTTTCTTCAAAGTTGCTTTAGGTCATGGTGCTTACCACAAGAAGAGAAATCAAACTAGGACACACAGGCTTTGGAACACTAGCCCCTGGGCATGCTGAACCTGGGTGTAGTTTGCTTTCATTCATTCATTCTTTCTTTCTTTCTCTCTCTTTTTCTCTCTTCCTTTCTCCTTCCTTCTTTATTTCCTTCTTTCCTCCCTCCCTCCCTCCTTCTTGCTCTTCCTTTTTTTCTGTTTGAGACAAGACCTTAAGTGTGCACACACAGGAGTTTATGAACTTCAGATGCATCTGTTTTTTGTTTTTGTTTTTTTCTGAAGCTTTTCTCACTTTGGAAGCACTTCCCAAGTGATTGAGCAAAGAGCCCACAGATGGCATAAATGCAGGGACTTCTGATTGATTCCTATGTAATTCTTGTGGATGGTGGCACTGGAAGTCATATGCATACAAATATTAGTACAATTAAAATCTGATCAAAAGTGTGACATTTCTTTTTAAACAATAGAATCAGGCTACATATAAGTCTTGGGTTAGGTGGGGAAGTTGTTTCTTCTATGTATCACTTTTCATGTTGCAACACAAGGTTCCCCCAAAATGTTTTTTACCTTGCAACAATATTTAATTTTATCACAAATTGTATTAGTTCTTTGAAAATGTTATACATTACTTTCTTATCACATTCATCACCTGTTTCCTCCTTCATGCATTACAGATGTATTTTCCCTAATCACTCACCCTTGTATAATTTTGAAAAAAATTAGACCATCAAATACAATTTGTGCTACCTATATGCTCTTAGATATGTGATGTTCCATACCCTCTTATCTCTGAGCATCGGGAGAAGAGGGTTTGGTACAGATGTGTCATTTAGGCCTTCACAGTCAACATTTTTCATGGTCTATAGCTTGACAAATTGAAGGTCTGTCTGTTAATTTTCATCTATAACAAAAGAAAATTTCTTAATCTATGGGTATAATAATAAGTCATTAGTACATAGTGTAGTACTATACTAGTCTCATTTGATAAAGAAATAGTAGTAATTTCTCTTGTAAGTCCCACAAATTCATGCTGCAGATAATATTGCTAGGTATGGGTTTCATCTTGAGGAAAAGTCCTTAATTCCAATGAGAAAGTAGTTGGTTGTTCCCAGGATATTTTTGTCATTATTTCACCAGTGTATATGTTATGTTTTGCCATTCTTGTATTTTAGTACTAGGAATGCAGAGCTGGAAAAATTGATGATTTATTTTCTCCTTCAGCAGTAGTATTCAGAATCATGGGAGCAAATCAGAATGGATGAAACTTATGAGTCAGCACTAGCTTGATTTCTCCATGTTTTATGACTCAAGCATGTGGTATCTTTAGCAATAGAGTTTTACCATCAAGTTCTACAAGGTAACCAATAACATTAGAAATAGCTTGTAAAGTTGCGTTAATGTGACCTTATTTTCCAATAGTTCTAAAAATGGTATTTCTTTCTAATTTTTGTATTGATATTTTCAGCCTTTCTACTATTCTCCTTTGATCCTTTATACAACTGCACTGCATCTTCCAACCCTTGAAAGCTTTCATAATCTCTATATGTAACTGAATATTCAAAGATCTTGTTTCCTTATTTCTTCCTCAACATGTTTGTTATTTATATATAGAAATAATACTGAATGTTGTATAATAATTTTGTATTCTTCTACTTTACTTAATGTATTAATCAACTCCTTCTTTTACTATTTGTATTCCCTTTATGTCTTCATTTATCTTATCAAATGTTCAAATGCTGAACATTTGAACAAGCATATGGCTAGTGTGTACATCTTGTTTTTTCCAGATTTTAATGAAAACACTTTGAGACTTTCCTCATTACAAAGATGTTGGCTATGGGCTTTTTTCACTCAAACATGTTTAAGATTTCTGTATGTTGAGTAATCCCTGTCTCTCTGGGATGAAGCCAACTTAATCTTTGTAGATAACCTTATTGGTGTGTTCTTCAATTCAGTTTTCAAGTATTCAGAAGTCTGTGCATCTATGTTCAGTAGCAAGACTGACCTATATTCTTCTGTTTTAAAAAGATCTTTGTCAAATTTTGTATCAGGGTGATATTGGCTTTGTAAAAATACTGTAGAAATGTTCCTTCATTTTTTATTTATGAAATAGTTTGAGAAGTATTAGTGTAAGTTCCTTCATTAGCTTTGGTAGAATTCTGTATGGAATCTGTCTGACCCTTGAATTTTCTTAGTTGAGAAATTTTAAATTAACATTTCCATCATATCAAATACTATGGGTATATTTAAATATTTTAACAGTATTTAGCTTTGAAAAGACATTATAAACACACACACATAATGTCTTTATGACACATATTGTATACATGGGTACTGTGTGTGTGTGTGTGCATTTCTTTTAGATTTGCCAATTTATTGAAAAGCAGATTTGTTACGTATGTCCTCATAATTCTTTTAATTTCCTCAGGCTTTGTGGCAGCCCCTTCCTTTGCAAATTCAATTTTGCTAATTTGAATTGTCTCCTGATTATTTTTGTGCATTTGACTAATTTTTTGTCAATTTTGTAACTTTTTAAAGCATCAAATCTCCATTTCATCGATTCTTTGAAAATTTTACTTCTGTTTTCATTGATTTTTAGCTCTGACTGTGATTATGTCTTCTCCCCTACTTTACATGGTCATTGTTTTGGTATTGTAAGACATTAAGATGCATCATTAAGTCTTTTACTTGAGAATTTTCATATTTTCTGATATAGGGCCATGGAACTATAAAGCTTTGCTGTATCCCACATATTTGGGTATGTTATGTTTTCATTTTCATTAAATTATAGGGATATTTAAAAATTCCTTGTTGCCGAGTGTTGGTGGCACACACCTTAAGTCCCAGCACTTGGGAAGCAAAGGCAGGTGAATCTCTGTGAGTTCAAGGCCAGCCTGGTCTACAGAGCAAGTTCCAGGACAGCCTCAAAAACAATACAGAGAACCCCTGTCTTGAAAAACCAAAAAGCAAAACAAAACTTCCTTCTTGATTTCTTTCTTGATATAAATATAGTTAACATTCAGGAGTGTGTTGTTTGGTTTCTATGAGTTTATGGTTTTTTTCTTGTCATTTCTATTGCTGTTAATACCTAGCTTTATTCCAGTGTGGTCAGATACAAGACATGTTGTTATTTCAATTTTCCTATGTATGTTGGGACATGTTTTGTATCCTAAAATGTGTTCAACTTTGGAGAAAGTTTGATTGGTTGCTGAAAATAATGTGTATTCTTCAGTGTTATATAGTGGCATATAGATTATAATGGAGAGTCCCTGGTATGGAACAAGCTTGAATCTGAGTATCAGTACCATGTAAGCAAGCTCCCCACTCCTTAGAATGGCAAGTAGATGGTATTTAAGCAAGCTGATGGTATTTCATTGCCAAGCTGCTTTCATGCTGACTAGTGATGACTGACATGTAACACTAAAAACAGATGGAATTCTGGGCTTTCAGGTCTAGACACTAGCATGTAGAAGGATTTCAGATGTTGATCCAGAAGATACTAATGATGTTTCCAACACTCAGAGTTTAGGTACGACAGCACAAGCTGCACAATTCAGAGCTTTTGACTTTGAAAACCCAGAGTTATTTAGCTACCAGGATGTGACTACAATGTTCCCAGAAATGTCTGAGAGCAGATACTTTGGAAGTTACAAAAATTTTGGAAATATGAGAAAGCAACTGAAGAGAAGTTTAAGACCTGGGAAGAAAAAGCAACAGAGAGCCAAATCACTGAAACAGTGATCCCTGTCCCTTGGAAGTTCCAGAGGGCTTCATATGTGGAGAATCCTAACAATGGAGCTGTAGTCTATACCTGCAGAGTGCTTGGCTCCTGGTTTAAAGGTTCACTACTTCCTTAGATCTGAGCACCTACAGTAGTCAGTTGCCAGCTGTGAAAGCCTAGAGCTTTGAATCTCTTTTGGAGTGTCTAGAACTATAAATCACCGAAGTGTGCAGGTGTGGTACATAGGATCTGGCATCTTCTGACCCTGGGAAAACAGCCCCCTATTTCCATCCTAGTAGAGTGAAAGGGGCCAAGCCAGCTCCTTTTAAAAGAATTTAAAAGAGAAAAAAATTCGTAGGCAAATCTAGCACCCACTTAAAAGTTTATTATTCAAGAAATAATCAGCAACGTAAATCAGTGAAAGAGAAAAGAGAATGAGAAAAAAATAGAGAGATGGTTAAAAACTGAATACAACCTGATAAGAAGCTGAACCCCAGAGAGGAGTCTCAAAGAATTAATTTGATTTGTTCCTGAAAACAATAGCTTTCAAAGAAAAAATGTGAGAGGAAGAATCACATGTTCTAGAGACAAGTGACTTAAATGGCAAACTGGAAAATAGAGCAGAACACGAAATCTAGGAGGTTCCTTCATTGTGTTTCAGACTTAAAAAATTTACATGGTGATAAGGAAAAAGAGAGGAGAGATGCATGAAGCATGATTTTTTTTAAATACCTACAAGATAACACAGAAAATTGATAGCTTAATATCTATTAGAGGTTCAACATGGCTGGGTCAGGGCAGAGATAAATGAATGCTTTAAAGTTATTGCTGAATATCCAATAATAGACATTTTATTACCTCACCCAGTAAAAGAAGTTTTTAATCACTCAATGGTTGTGAAATTGTACCTAGCTCTGACCTTGTTATTTGAGCCCTACACCTTAATGCCTTCAGAATCTAGAAGACGTGACATGTTCCCTTTCCCTCCTGGTAGCAAAGAATGCATTCTACCAGGGATCAGAGACCTACAACTTGGTGTTCTTAAAGTCAGCCATGAATTCTATGTCTGCTGCAACAAAATATTTGTATTTTTATCCTCTGCTTTTATCATTCTTGTCAGTCATTTCTTATACAACCCCTTTGATGCAATTTGTGGAAGTGGAGAAAAGGGTTTTGTCTTAGTAATACTCAAAAAAAAATCTGTTTTTACACGAACAATCCTTTATTTTAATTTGCCAGACTGAGCCAGACAAATTATGAGAAATTAGTGCTGAACAAATGGCACTTCAGATTCTCTGCTAAGCGTGATGCTCCTAGAATCCCCTTTCACACTGGAAACACTGCTTCTGACAGCGAGGGTGCAGAAGTGTCTAGAGGAAGCTAGAGACACCGTGTGAACCGCCTTGCACCACAGGTGCCTCTGGCTTCCACCCATTGTCATCTCCTGGTTGATCTCAGCAGACGATCCTGTCTAGGATTCAGTAGTGGGAAAATGGGACCTCACATCCTTCTGTTCTCTCAACTGCAAAAGCAGGATCATAAGGCCCATTGTTTGTACTTCATGTTTATTGTAAGGGGTGACTGTATCATGTTTGGGTTGCTGAAATTTAAAGTGTGCTCAAGGGTGGGTAGTTAGCAGATAACTGCAACTTCCCTTCGGACGATTTACGATCTCTTGACAGCAATGGATGTTTTGGTAATATCAAGAAAAGGCACCTATTATTGGATGTTTCAAATTATTAGACCCATTTTCATGTTAAATAATGTATCTATGCTATGTGTATATTAATATGCAGTTCCTCTGTCTTAACTTCTTGTTTTATTTGAGAAAGTAAGAAAAAAAAAGCAGCTGCAACAACAAAAACAGCTGAAAGCTTTATCATTGCCACATGGATAGGTCACATATTAAAATCCAAAGGTATGACATATTGGTTTTATAAATACAAACAATGAGTTGGAAAAAGATTTATAGTTAATAACGTGTGGTTTTCTAGCATATCTAAGCAGTAATAACATTCACTGACAAATGATAGAGGGTCTGTCTTTAAATTAAATTTTTAACAAAATTTTACAACACGGGGATGTTTTATTTCTTTACTATTTATTCTCAAGTTAGCAGTGCTGTAGGGAGTTGGCAGGAAATTAATGCACATTTTAAACAACAAAAACATGATGTATCTGAAAATACGTGTTGCTTTTCCAACCTCCCTGTACATGTGTTAATTCGCTGTTGTAATACAATTTATATTCCTAGAGGAAGAAAAGATTTCAACACCCAGTATCTAATAGTCTGGAAATTTTACCCACAACCTTTAAAATGATCTACTTGCTTGTATTACAGATGTCTTCACTGCAGCTTGTTTATTGTGACTGTTTGTTTTGTGTTATGGTTTTGATTCTCCCTGATGAAGGTGCTTCAAGTCCAAGTATTGAATTCAAGATATAGCAACTCAAGAAAAACTTTAATTAATCAGGGTATAAGCAAAGTATATAAAACTGTCACACACTGAAGAAAGGATAAAATATTCTAATTGAAAGTGTCATCTCATTGGTGAAATACTTTCATTCTCTTTTACTGCATCCTTACACAGTTGTCCTTCAGTGCACAAGAAAATACCAAGAGAGAATGGCCTGGGGAGATTGGCGCACAGCAGAAAACAAGTCTACAGCACATTAATGCTTAATGATTGTTTTTAACAACACACATATAAAATAATTTGTGAGTAATAACAACCATAGTTCTGAATAGAAATCAATGCAATACTGATGTACAGTATAAAACAGTCTGAGTCTGAATCATAAGTCACCCTTTCATAACTTAACTGAGGGATTAATTAGGGAAAGTCACAAAAAGTAAAAGAAATAAATAAACAGGGAGATTGTGTCACTTAAACTCAAAAATATCACAACTTTGATACTTAGGTTGAACAGTTTTAAACTCCATAGTTAAAGCATTTAGAGTTCAAGTCTAAATTAATGGCAACAGCAGGGTCTTTTTGAGGCTTGTAGGATACCAGATGAATCATGAGGAGGTGCAGCATTTGTACAATGAACTTGCATAGGACACAGGACAAGATCCGATAATGTAATGCCACAAGAACTTAATAATGACAGCAAGGCAAGCAGCATCACTGCCTAACCTTACCTGTTTTCTGAGGCCCAATTACAAGGAATTTTGGTAAGTGATCACATGTTTTCTCCCTGGACCAGATGTCTTTGTGTCGTTTATCATCACATGGATTCTGCAATAAAGAATAACACATCTTGCTGAATACTGTATCCTGGCTGCTGTGTCTTAACAACCTTTCAAGTAAGACAGGATGAGATTCTTGCTTGATCTCCTAGAGCTGGGCATTACATCCTGTTCTGGTTCTTTGATTCTCAAATCCTTTCCTTGTGCAGTGATTAGCTGGTTCCCCTACCCAAGGCCACATAAAGCACAGCCTCAAATCAGTCCTGCTGTGATGTTCGTGTTCTCCATGACAGATAATAACAGACACTCTGCTCTATCTTGGTTTGTGTTTTATGTCATGTGCATCAAAGAGGCTTGAAGTGACAAATCCTTGCTTGACTGTAGTTTCACAGCTTTTTTTTCTGTTTTGTTTTCCAACATTGAAACAGCTATATATTAAATTCTGGGTACGTTATTTTCAATACAAGATGACTTTCTTTGGGAAATGTTTCTGAAGGTAATACCTGTTAGATGAGTCATTTTAAATTATGATTCTTCCTAAAACTTTGACAAATATAGGTAAAAACCACAGTTTCCAATATGTCATCTTTCTAGGAGAGAGCAGACATTTATCCAATTAACTATGCTAGATCTGTCAAGAAATGTTTACACAAATGAGCCTCCATTTTTCAATTAGAGAATGCAAAACTGAAACCTTTTATGTAATTTCAACACGTTTTAGTTAATTTGTTTAATTTCACTGATTTAAATTTTCATTTTAAAAAATAAGAGGGTAAAAGTGTTAAAATGGAGAATATATTATTTCAAGGAAGCATTTTTCCTTAAAACTTCATTTATTTATTTGTTTGGGATATGGCTGGTCCCAAACTCTTGTGCTCAAGTGATTTTCCTGCTTTGAATTTACAAGTACTTGGGATTACAAATACATATCACTATGATTTTAAATATATTTTTAACATTTATAATTCATTTTCAAAATGTTTCAAACCAATTCCTAACATAATTCAGTATGATTTTAAATATATTTTTTAACATGTATAATTCATTTTCAAAATGTTTCAAACCAATTCCTCATATAATTCAGAAGTCTCACAAAACTTCTCAATGGCCCACTGGCATGCTGTTCATTGCACCAGATAAAAAGCAAGAAGACACTCTGGCTGCCTGGTTAACAAAAATGCACCAGAGAAGATGAAAACTCAGATAGCCATGTACATCTGGGATCCCAGGTACTTCAGTGGCAGAAGTGGAGTTGGAAATATTATGAGTTCAAGACTAGCTGAGAAAATGAACTCATTGCCTCAAAACCAGTCCCAACCAAAGTAAAGACATGAAGGAGTTCAAGCATGCAAAGTCTGAAGAGTGTGCTACACTTAGAAGTTTTAGAGATGCAGACATCTGATGAATGCTGTTATATCCTGTCCCTGGCAAAGGTGAATTTTTAGCTCTTCAACCCTTACTGTTGAAATGGAAGTAGAGTGCTTTCACCATTTCTTTGGGGTTTGGAGGCAGCAAGTTTTTGTAGAAATCTTTGCATGTAGCCCTAGAGCAAAGATGGGCTTTCAGCCACATATACTAGAACATGGGACACTCAGTCTACGAGGCGACAGGGTGCTCCATAGTCAGCTGAACTGTAATTTCTAAGGACAACAATCATGATATGAGAAGTGTTGGATTACAACCAGAACAAAGTCTACTAGTGTTTTTCCCTCACAGATTAAACTACCTGTGTTCTGGCACTGCCTTTTTCTGACAAAATGCCTGGAGAAATTCATAAAATGAGAGCCAGCAGAGCAGATCATATCTATTGTGATGGCATCTGGTCCTTACACAGTGCTGGGAACAGGTTAGACTTCTAGTAATGAAAGAGTGACTCTAAGTGAGGATATCCAGGAGATCAGAATGTACTGTCTACAGCTTAACACCAAATGTAGCAACGGGGTTACAGATCCTCATAAGAAACATCTTTCAGGTTTCCCCAGGAAGTGCGATTTTGAAAATTGTATGAAAACGGCCCACTTGTAGTGAACCATTTTCAGAAATGAATGAAAGTGAATGGGCATATAGTATTTCCTGTGGAGGATGCTTTCTGTCCACTGGAAGTGTCAACTGTGCTGCCTCATACTACTTCTGCAAGCAATAGGCCCTCCCAGACCTTCAGCTGTAAACAATGTTTGTGGGTGGAAGATTAAAAATTGTTCTTGGATAGTTGATGAATGAAATCTGACTGGCAAGGAAAACTATGCATCTCCCTCCTGCTCCCCAAAGGGTCCCATATCTACTGTTTGATATGACAGTACAAGAGGAACCACTCCTCTCAGTAGGCACGGTTGTTTGTGTGAGTAGTCTTCCATGAAGGGCTAGATTTTGTTGAGATCACATTCTCACTCAGACCTTTCCCTTTTATCTGTCCATAATTTCCTTTATGGATTTTCCCCCAAAATATTTTCTCCATGAATCCTCCTAAAGAATACTATTTGTGGCAGATTCCATTGACACTCATACAGTTTGAAGATGCACATGATCTAAATATAGTTTACTTCCTCACCTCCAATTTTGATAATACTATGAAACATAAATATGTAAATACTAGTAAAGGGCACACAAGCCAGTTAAACATGGCGCTGAGGGGACGTCAGGAGGGCGAGTCCTGAGATGTTTGCAAAAAAGGTGATTGGTTGCCAAGATCTAACCAGATGAGGTCAACTGCATGAATGGCTTGTGTTCACTAGGTAAAGCATGGGGCACTTAGGGGCATGATAGGCTTACATTTAAAACCATTGATTGACTGTTTTCTCACTCTGTGGGTTTTGCTTTAAAAGATGCTTGCTGTGGTACAATAAATGAGTTCCTGCTTGACTAGACTCCCTGCTGCATCTGATTGTCTCTGTCTCCAGGATCCTGGGAGACTGGGGAACCGGTGAGCAGAGCACTTACCCTATCTTTCACTCAGCTCAGCCTTCCGTGGTTGGGCTAAGACCCTGCATCTGGTACCCTCAATGTGGCGGCATAAAGGACCTATATTTCAGCTGACGCTAAGTGGTCTCTCGGGGTAAGTGAGACCCTTAGTATGGGTAACTCTATTTTCAGTAACAAGGGAGAAGGGGGGGGGACTGGAGAATTACAGACCCTGCCTTATGCTCCCAGAAACAAGGGGACTGGAAAGAGGATTCCCCACTGGGAGATTGGGGTGACATGGGAGCTCAGACTATATCAAAAAGGGACAAGACCAAGAGTTACTCTTTATCATAGAAGAACAGTCCAGCCAACACAAGGCCCCCAGCTCATTGTACCATTGACAACCCTGATATCCACCCTTTTGGTTCCCTTTATAATAATAGTCTTAAGTTGTGTCTTTGGGCCTTACTTTTTCAATAGGATGGTAAGGCTAATCAGATCAAAGACTCAAGAGATCCAACTGACAACCCCTTACGTACACTGTGATAGGCTTCAGCTCTAAGGATATCTCCCTTTTGAGTGAGCCTTGACAAAAGGGGCTAGAAGAGGTAAAACTCTGTGGAGGAACCAAGAGGCACATACTTTGAAATGAAGTGGGCCATGTCTAAAACAAATAGGAGGAATCTGAAGGGTACACGAGTCAGTAAAGATTGTGCAGAGGGGAAGTCAGGAGGGCGAGTCACTGTATGAAAGACTCGTGTTCACTAGGTAAAGCATAGGGCACCTAGATGCATGATAGGCTTACTTTTAAAACCATTGACTGGCTGTTTTCCCACTCTGATTTTTTTTTGCTTTAAAATATGCTTGTTGTGGGACAATAAATGATTTCCTGCTTGAGTCGATTCCCTGCTGCATCTGATTGTCTCCGGGATCCTAGGAGGCTAGGGAACAAGCAAGCAGAGAGCACCTACTCTCTCTCGGGCCCAGCTCAGACTTCTGTGGTTGGGCTAAGACACAGCATACTAGCATATTTTCTTTTTATTGTTGGAGAATTTCATATATTCATAGTATGTGCTTTGATCAAATTCACTTACATGTCCCACCCTATAATTCCTCATCACTGCTTTTCTTTCCCAACTTTATGTGCCCTGTTTTTAAAATCCACTGAGTTCATTTAGTGCTATCTGTATGTACCTCATTTCAGGACAATCTACTGGGGTATATGTAGCATCTCATAGCCTGGATACCTGAAGAAGACTCTCCCCCCTTAATACTCATCAATTTTAATTACTCCTTAGCCAGAGTGAGAATTCATTACTAGCTCCCCTGTCCATGCTAGGATTTTGTCCAGCATGATCTTGAATAGGTCTTGTACATACATGAACACTATGATAAGTGATAAGTACATAAGCACTGTCCTAAGCACCATCAAGTCAAACCTGCAGCTGCCTGTTATATCCAGAGAACAGTTTTGTGATAGTCCTGCACTACCTCTGGCTCTCATAAACATTTTCTCCTCTCTTACTCCATTGCTTCTGAGACTTGGGGTAGGGGCAAGAAGATATGCAGTTAATGCATCTTTGGCTAAAGACCAATAATTTGTAAAGACAATCATAGTATCTGGTGATTTACTTTGGAAAAGATTAAGCTATATTTCTTGGATTTTCCAATAAATTTATCTGTGGAATACTCCAAAAATTGAGTGAAATATAATCTGTTGAAGTCAAAATTCCTTCCTTTAAAATGTGAAAAGAACAGAAATTCCATTTTATGTCTACTATCATCTATTTCTTAAAATATTTCTGTTCCTTATTTGATCTTCTACCCTCCACACTCAAGGTTTAGTTTAATGCTCTAGCCATATTTTTTTTGCGGTGACAAAGAAGGATGGACTTTGGTCTTTTTTTATTTTTTATTTTATTAATAATGGAAAATTCCCTATTTTGCTTAGAGCATAGGTCTCCAAACTAGAGATTATACTTCACAACCTGTCTTGAATCTGTCTTCTGATGAAAAAGTCTTAAGCAACTGAAAGTGAGACAAATGATACGAAGTGTCTTTTTAAGGTTAAAACCACCATCTCTGTTTCCCCCTTTTCAGTTATCGTTGGCTATAAAAATAGCTATAACTGAAGAATGAGTCTGGCTTGCA